ATAAGCATCGCGGTGAAACGACACACATAGTATGTTATATCGTTTCGAGAAACGCACCGGTTCACCTTTTGATCCGTATTAAACTCAATGAGAGAAAGAGAGAGAGAGAGAGAGAGAGAGAGAGAGACGTTCGAGCTCGATGTTGCGTAGACATGATACATAGAGGTACATACAGGATTCTTACCTATATCGGATGTAATTCGCGCCAATATGAGAAAAGGCGCGTTCGCGCGAGAGAATTACACGCGACCCTAGATCGCTCGCGATCTTTCTCGCCATTAAATCCACTTACGCTGGGAAAGAAAGAATGGAAAAAAGTGCTAGTATTATCGCTTCGATATAATTAAGTTGTTAGACTTATGCGCGGCGGAATATTGTAAGAGAACTTGAGATTGTATCAAGGATGGAATTTCTCGAATGGGTAGACGTAAGTCTAAGATACGGAAGAAAAGTCATGAAAGTCGCGTGTTACTCGCAAAGTTTGGCTTATAAAATCGACGAAGAAAAAGAAAGAAATACAAAAAAAAAAAAAAAGAAAAACAAGAAAGAAAAAAAGAAGAAGAAGAAGAAAAAGTAAAAGAAAACGGAGAGAAAAATATTTGTAGAACGGTGAAAATCGATCGTGGGTGCACCTTCGAACGCGTTTCTCGTTGTTATTCGTACCTGTCGATATTGGCATACACGCACCGTCCCTCGCACTTTTCACAGCGCATAAAGCCGGTCATTACGAATGCCGGTCGTAAGAACCTCGGCCGCTCCGGCGAACGAATGATATAAAAGTAAAGCTCCGTGATCTAGATTTAGAGAAACCATGGAGTAACACACAATGGGAACCTTCGGGCGTCTTTCCACACGTTCGTTTGTTAGGACAAACACATTTACCTCTTTGCTCTCGTCACATTTTACGTCACGTTACGTTTATGTACCATGCTCGATCGTTATTCTTTCTTTATTTCTTCTGTTTTTTTTTTTTTCTTTTTTTTCTTTAAAATTCACAAATGCTACGCATCACCGAATCTAACGTAGCATGAGAAAGAACGTAGAACGAGGAAGACCGTGATATATAATGATATGTAAGAATACGAATGTCATAGATGCGTTAGCAAAAGACATGCGCGATTATGGAACACACCGAACGCGTGCTGTGCCACGTTGGAAGATACAATACGTCTTTGATATGAAGCAAGACACGTTATTTGTCACGGAAGGTCTTGTCAACGGTATCACGACGATCGCGACACTTGCACGGCTTGACGTGCAAACGTATTTCTTGTAATCTACGCCCTAAGACATCGAGCAAAGTTACGCTACCATGAATCACTATGTGACATTTAATCGCGTAACTGACTTCCTCGAAGGAACAATGATCTCTCGTTCGACGTTAGGATAAACGACGATCTTGCCGAGGAATTCCTCCGTCTCGTCTCGTCTCTCGTCTCGAGCGACGAGGATAATTAGGGGTTATGTTGCAGCGATAACAATGCCATTCGTCGTACATTGTTTCTCGAATTGAATCTATTAAGCAGAAACGATATTGGAAAGCTCGTTTACAAAAGAGAAGAACTGACATAAAGTATATTTTAGATTATAAAGAATGAAATAATCGATGAGGAACGAAGATCCAGTTTGTAACGTGAAGCGCAAGCCAGAGTTAACTTATCGAATCCGTCTCGAATGACAAGCTCCGAGGCATAGATAACGCCCACGAATCGCGTGGTCGCATCCAACCGAGTCGAATGATAGACGCTGACGGGGATTCCTGATGAAATTGATGATGCCGGAAGGACATCGCCTGCTTATCCGTGTAAGCTTTATTTATCGATGCGCTCGCATCGTCGATCGGCGATCGAGCGTTATCTCGCGAAGGCGATCAAAATCGCGAATCGAAGTAGAATAAATTCGAATCACCTCTTCCAATCTTAGGACTAAGACTTAACCATTTTCCTTATCGCGTTTACTACTTTATCCATATACATTTTAATTTGGTTAAGAAAAAAAAAAGTATTTAGAAGAAAAATCTTTCGCTATAAGGAAAAAAAAGAAAAAAAAAAAAAATAGAAAATCGTTGGTGCTTACTTATCCGATTTCGAGTCAACGGGCATTAATAAGATAAATGAAATAAAGAGAGGAAATGGCAAAGGCGTTTTGTAATATAATCTTTCGGTACGACTAACGATACAAATGGTTCAGAACCTTGAGAGAAACTTTCACTAACCTGGAAGATTATGGCGCAGGAATAGCATCTTCGTACGAGATACTAATCCTTGATGACGCTTTAAGGTCGACAGGGCAATTTCATGCGATCAGCGTAATTTATTCCTCCGATTTTGTCCGGCTATCCGACGACGAGATTTGCGATCCGGTTGTATCGCCATGTTTTACGTACGAGCACGGACTCGTGCCTAATGCCACCGGACCGCGTACGTTTCCGTACGCTCGTTGAAATCTCTTGTGTTTACTTCCTACGTCTATACGGGAGACATTTTTCTACCTTCCTTCTTGTACGATCTTGTAAGACGCGCTCGTGCGGAACGACCGCTGAAACACCAACGGAGAACGCGGGATTACGATCGTTTGCCTTTACAAACTACACTTGATACTTTGTCGCCATTGAATCTCCTCTTTAAGAAATGAAATATTTATACCGGCGGAGAATTACATTCGAGATAATGCCAAAGGCGAAAGAAAGGAAAAAGATAGACGTAGGTAGATTTTAACGGTCTATATAAATCTAGACAAACTTTAATATCGAAACGTTCTCGACAACGTTCGCTACCGCTAAAAGTGATTTCTCTCGCGATCGAAATATTTGACGATTGTTTTCCTTTCAGATAGGACCTATCCTATGGCACGAAACCAGAGGAGAGAATCGGGTTAAACAAACGTTGTACAGGACATAATGGCGCCCTAATGACTTGATAAGCACTCTCCGGTACTACGTTGCAATAATCCTGTTACGACGAGGCCTGATCCGTGCCTGGCAATCCTCCAGGAATGAAGAGGCAAACTATTTCGAGTAAGCGAGGCAGCCCGAGCGAGCTTAAGTGGTAAGTTCAACGGTAACCGAGCTGCCGGAGAGTCTCTACCACGCCTCCTACTGAAAAGATTAGATTGCTCGCGATACCAATTACCCGCAATGGTAATTAGTTTCTAGTGGTGCCGATTGCGAAAGTAACAGGTCAACGAAGTTAGATTCGTTCGATACTTTTGTATTAATTTTGTAAAATAAAAGTCTAGCAGCGAATAAAAAGAAACGAAATAAATACTATACAAGCGCTCTTTTTATTTACCTTAGCCCTCATTCTCCGATCTCAATTCCTTTTGCGATAACATCACAATAAAATTTCTATTCCTACTTCTTTGGCCTAAGATGAAACTTTTAGTAATTCTGGTAGTTAAGACTCAAAGGTCAATTCATCGTTGGTGGGTGCTAGATTACGGTAAAGTAATACGATGTACCACGCGGAAGAGAAATAAACACGCTTCTAACATACGAGAGGTCAGTGCGTCGGCTACCTCTCTCTCTCTCTCCCTCTCTCTCTCTCTCTTTCTTTTTCATCATGGTAGCCGAGTACTCGCACACACATATAATTAACTAATTCAATAAACACCGAAGCAGTGACAGCGTTACCCCCTCTTTACACGAGTATATTCCAACCTGTCATTACACGGACGATTATGTCGTTAGAGCTTGGTGGATTTTAACGTGTAATTAGAAGAAGTCTCGAAGAGTCGGCGACGACGATGACGTTGCACGAACGTAGAAACACATCCATAAAGGGATTTACGTGAAATGAGTATTTTAGAGTTAACGGCATTTCATCGAAATCAACTTATGAAAAACATCAAAGGTCAAAGAAATTTGACGTAAAAATTATCATTATCCTGGATAAAAGTTTGTACCGATTTAGCAGGTGCCGCGACGTTATGATGTAAACGTTGTTATGCCAAGGATAATCTATTTATATATATGAAATGTATCGTTGTCAATGGCAATCTGATTGAGAATTTTACGAGGCAAAGGAACAACTTGTAAATATTCCAAGGTAAAAGAAAGAAAATTATGCACCGATCGTAAAGCGATCAGTTTTCTTCTTCGACTAGGGCGAACCCATACGTAAACGATTGAGTCGTAAAAATCAAAACGAAATGATGGGGTTTGTGTAAAAAAAAAGAATTACTCTCGCGGGAAACGACGCCAGGTGTCGACAAGACGGTCCTATCTTTCGGTGGTATCCTTGCAATTTCGAAGAATACGCGAAGACGTCGTTCACCTTGCCGCAAGGAACGAAATCTTTAAATCCTTGTATTTCCAGTCTACGCGTCTCACGTATGCGAGGCCCCTTTCAAGGCTAACCGATGTAACGTGACCGTCTAGTAACGAAGGAGAAAAAAGCCACGACGAATAAAATATCATCCCGTGATGATCTTGAATAATGAGATATTTCGCTTTATGTTAATACAGATGATAGATTTTCTTCTTCCGGCTAAAAAGATTTCGATGTTTTCTCGAAGAAGGGTTGCAGAAGGATTAGCAATCTCCGCGATGTCGATGAGATAAAAATGATGAGTAGCGGACGAAACGGTTCTCTCCGTATCCGCCTTCTACTATTCTCGACTCTTACAGTCTCCTACAAGTATGGTTGCCACAAGTTGGCACCTGCAAAGCGACGTTAATCGCTTCGTAGCTCGTAAAGGAACCGATCCGATAGATAAGAGAAGCAAGAGAGAACTTCTCGTGGCTCGCTCGCCGCTCGTACATACGTACAAACACAAACGGAATCGTCGGTGATTTATCTCAACGTGCGAGTGAAATCGTTCCGGCGGGGGTTTCGTCACTTTCGCGGCGCAGAGTGAAACGAGACGGTCGGTTCGTTCCGTCCTCGCGATGGAAACCAACCATCTCTCTCTCTCTCTCTCTCTCTCTCTCTTTCTCTCTGTCTTGGAAGAGCAAAAGACAGAGAGAAAGAAGAAACAAGGCAGCAAATAATAATTAATACTTTCGTCGTCGATCGTTATCGCTGTGTACGTAGGTATGATTCTTGCTCTGCCCGCGAGTTGATCGACAGCCGAAGAGCTTAAAACCGGGATGATCGTTCGTAGATCCTCGGTCACTCGGTGTGATCCGGTGATTTATCGTGCCACCGCCCGCCATCTATCATGCCTGATAGCGCCGATAGTCGAGACTCTAGCCGAGACTCTAGTCAGCTCGTGCAGAGCTGGCCTCTCTTGTCCATTGGCGTCGAATACTTGGGAATCTTTGTTAATATTTATCTAAAACAAAAAGAAAAGGAAAAAAAAATAACAAATAAAAAAAAGACATTGTCAAAAATTAGATTCGCGACCACACAGTTTAACGTTTGAAAAATTTATTCGTTCAAACGATCCGAGTGTGTATGTACGAAATTCCTCGTTTGCCGTTTGATCGATCTATTTGATCGTTTTGCAAATTATTCCTCGGATATGAAAACGATAAATACCCAAATTATCCTGTCGTTGAATATTCTTTTTTTTTTTCTTCTCGAGCTCATTAAAAATCAATTTGACGATAGCAGGATTTTGCGTTTAATTCGAACGTAGAAAATGATCTGTCGCCGCCAATGAATTCGCCTAGTACGGTGCTCAACGCCGAGCAGTGGTATGCTCTCATTACCACTCACGCTGGTAATCGCGAGCCCATAACGCGCCAAGGTTAAGGACTCTAGGGCATTGCGGGACCGAACGAAAGATACACGTTTGCGATACGCGACTTATTACTTCCTATATGATATTATAATGTGTGTCCCGTCGTCCCGTTGAGTCTCGTCTTGTTCCCAATGGTACCATACCATTTACTATTCCACCCGAGTTGCCTGGAATATTCCGTTTTAAATCTCGACAATATAATATTTGATCAATTTTAACATGTCGTATTTTAAATTCCAAAAGAAGAAAATTCTCGAAGCGATAAAGATATCTTTCGAATGCTTCTCGATTCTCAAGAATTTACGAACCTTTCACCGTTTCATAATAATCCCCACCTAGCGGCAACGTCCAAATCGAATAATTTTCATTCTGTATACTTTGACTTAATCGATGTTTGCCAAGTAATTCTTACAAAATACATATCTTATAATATCTATAGGTACTCTCGATTTACAACATATCGAACTAATGATAACTTCTGTTCGTGCTCGCGCGCACGGAGGAGACAAAGTCGGAGCGATGTTATCTTACATAGAACGACTAGGCAGATCCCGAGGTACGACCTACGCTTTCTCTCGACGCAGAGAGCTGCCGCCGCCGGCTTAGCTCATTGAGCGAAAGAAAGAGAGAGAGAGAGAGAGAGAGAGAGAGCGAGAGAGAGCGAGAGAGAGAGAGAGAGAGAGAGAGATTGCCTACGAGCATCGCGGCGGGCACAAGCGCGCACCGCCGGCGGTTTTATTGTCTTAAAGGCGTTTCTCGCCGTCTGGGCGGCCAACTTTTGTCCCGGTATATATCATCGTTCGCGAGTTACCTTTGCAAAGCGCCGGTGACCCCCTCGAGTTCTCTCTTTCTTTCTCTCTCGTTATATGTCTCTCTCGTCGACGCACGAGAACGCATACGAGGGGGTTGGTAGGCGCCACACATCGAGGATCGAACTTTTCTCACGAGATGCGGGTCGATACGATCGATGACTTTCTCGATCACACCTGCGACCCGGCAAGTTATGCGAAACGCATTGCGCGACCACGACGAAGAGAGTCCTACGAACGCCAAAGAACGATCTACGAGTTATGTTACGTTTGTTGCTCTTTAAAGAATTTCCTTGTGGCTTGCTCGAATGCCCCTATGAATTATTAGATTATACAAAGTCTAAAATATCTATACGTTGCGTCTACGTTTTTACGATGGAGCCTAGAAATAGAAGATAGTTGATGTCAATTTACGCGTCGTAATAATCGCAAATCGATTTGCAATGGCAAACGAATTGCGAAATTTAACGCTTCCGTTATTTTGAATTCTCAAGGGACAACGTGTATCGAAGAACCGTTAAGGCGGCACGCGTTTACATTCGCCAGGCTTTAATTTATCGCAACGTTTTATTACTATCGTTTAAAGATCGAGACGCCCAGGAAATTCTCGGCGAAAATTCTTTGAGGATTCTCCGTTGAATCGAGCCAAGACGAGATAGATCGAGGGTAGATCGGGACGGTGAGAGAGCTCCAACCATAACTTAATCGCCGCGAGTCGCCTACACGTGGCTATAGGACGGCTAAGCCGCGGATCGTTTATTTCGCGTTATATCCTCGAGAATGCAACGCACCGCCGATGTAGCGTGTATTACGAGAATGGCTCGTTTATTCAAAGACTCTCGGCTTTCCCTCGGCCGATTTATCGGCTCGCGCCAGATAAGATGAGCCTGGGAACGTTACCGATGCGATACTTCGATTCGGCGGCTCGTCTCGATACGCCTAGAAATGCATAGATGCCATTAAAAATGAGAAAGAAAAACATATTTTTCCGTGCGATAACGACTGTGTGTAGGATACTGTTTATTGGCATTGAAAGAAAAAAAACAAAAAACAAAACGAAAAGATAAAAAAAAGAAAAGAAAGAAACCAAAAAATGTCAGGATTGCGTCAGGATATTAGTCGGAGCCAACTCGGCGAGCCGGAAGGAAAGCGGGCTCTTTCGAAAGGTGGATCGCGTGCGATGCCGCAAGTACTGTCGCGTATTATGCGACATCGCATACAGATTGTTTCGAGCCCACGCGAAAACCGAGAATAATAACGCGACGACGTATTTCGCGTCTCTCGCTTCTCTCTTCCATATCGGTTATTATGACGTTTTATTCGTTCGCTATACCGGCCCAAGGCCTGCTTATCGGACGAAAGATCTAACGATTCACGATCGCTTCGTTGTAGACCTTAAACCGCATTTTCCAACCTACTACACTTCTTCGTTAAGAATTTATATTTATCGATATTGATACTAAATATCGGAATAATGAGGTTCAACGTCACGCCCGCTTACTTCGCGTTCCATTTCTCGCACCTGCGTGCGTACGACGACGTCTTACGCAATGACCCCGAATGGGTGACTGGACGAAAGGTCGACCCGCGAAAGCACGCACTCTCCTTTCGAGGATCGAGAAACAAGAATCTAGTTATCACGAGCTGGTTCTGATTCAGCCAAGTTTATGCAAACTAACGCGAGCACTGTCTGCTCCGGGGTCCACGGAGAAAGGATAAAGGTGAAGTGTTCCGTTGTCGTCGCACGGGCACAATTAAAGACCCAACGAGCGAGTACCGAGACTCGTGATCCGAGATAAAATTATTTCGACTCTAAAAGCTTACGTCCGCCAATTAAAGCCGACGAAAGCGTGAAAGCGTAAGTAGCACCGAAGGATAACGAGGCCGGTGTAAATCACGAGACGGAACAAAATTGAGCTACCCAATAGATAATCATCGGAGTAGTAGAGGGAACGAATGTAGGTAAATATATAACGATCTGTAAAGAATCATGAGGCAAATAAAGAAATAAGATAAACGTAAAAAGTTGATCCTCTCTCACTCGCTCTCTCACTTCCCTTCTCCGTCTTCTTCTCTGAAAGCAAGCGATATCGCTTTTTCTTAAGGCGCGATGCGAAAAGGAGATTTCGTCCGTGGGCCCCGTAATGCGGTAGCTCGGTTCATGCCACGCCGTCGAGACGTAATTGCGTGTTTGCCGAGAGCCGAGCGAAGGTAAGGCGAGCCAAGCCGGTGTTATTAGTTTCGCCTTCGCCGCGCACGCAATCCTCCTCTCCGGGCGCTCTGGTGCTCCGAAGGAAGAGAGACGGTGAGATAGCTCGATCGACTCGCGGACAATAAGAAACCGTGAGAGGGTGGAGCTGACAAGGAGCGAGCTACCAGCCGGTTAACCGCTCGGATAAAGCGCCTTTCGACTTTTTTTGCCGAGCCTCCTTCGCTAACTCGTCTATACATCGCACTTCTCCTCATCTCTCCCTCGTCTCCCGTATCTGCGCACGAGATTTCAGATAACTTCTACACACGACGTCAAGTTTGCGCGACGAACGATCCAATTTTATTATCGATATATGCATATATACATACATACATACATACATATGTATATATATATATATATATATACATAGTGATTCTTTACGAGATCCTTAATATCGTACGTGTATTGTTAATCTATAGAATGCAGATAATTTCTTTCCACGAAACGCGAGTTGCTATCTCGAACGAGGAATCGCACGTTCACGGATCGATAGGTCAGTCGTAGGAAAAATAAATCGAGATCGTTAATAAGGCCAACACCTTTCGCGACTCGACCCACGTCTTCATTAAGATACTGCGCAGTCCATTAGTTTACCGTACGCGGGCAGCTCTACCATTAGGGATGATATTTAATTAACAGTCGAATGAATTGGAAATATTCTCGATCGGCGGGACGACTCTGCGGGTGTGCGTCCGGTCCACGTTGGCGTAATTAAAACTGTGGGATCGTCACGCCTGCGTTTTCCCTTTCGCCGGATACGCACGTGCGCTTTCGAACGTAAACGCCGGTTCCTTTTTCGTACTAGGTAGAAATCGATGACGATGACTCTTCAATCGATTATCTCCTTCTTTATTTCTATCTTTCTCTGCGTGGGACTAGCGCAGGTGCATCTTCTCCTCTCTTCATCATCGCGTGAGTAGTCATAGATTCGTGCTTGCTTTCGTGCCAGCTTCCTTCTACGACGTCAAGATATTCCATATGAAATACAATCGATGTGCGAGAGTAGGCAGGTAAAATCACGGAACGTCGAACGTTCGTGAGCTTTGACGATTGGATTTTATTATCTAAGATACAATAATCCTAAAATGTTATCGCGATCCTCGATAAATTTATCCATTTGATGTCCTTGCATTCGTCGAACGATAATAATATTTGTTTGAGTAATTGAAAGCGGATTTTCAAACTTTGATTTGATTAATAAATCGAAAACATTAAGATTCTTAATCGAATTTATAAAGTAATGGTTGTAAGCGTGCCACGAAGTATTCCAAGAGAGAATTCACCCACGATCGCCGTGCATACACCAGGGTCGACAGACTTTCTCTCGTTGAAGGCTCGTTAAGGAACACGATAGGAGCACGAAAAAACAGGCTCGCGGCGTTTTTCGGGAAGGAAGCAATGGACGAGCATTCCCCCCGTAGTCGGCCCCTTCGCCAAAAGAAGAAGTGAAGAGAGGAGGAGGAGAAGAAAGGAGAAAGAAAAAGAAGAAGGAGAAAGAAGAAGGAGAAAGAAGAAGAAGAAGAAGA